CCTATTTCAACATCTGTCTAGACTAGCAATAACTTATAAAGGTACCACTTTCCTATGCAAATCACTTTTCCTTTGAGTATAAGGCAAAGAAAAAAAACTGGTTTCAGCTACAGCAGCTGCTGTTTCACTTTGCACCAATGGTACTTGTTACCTTGTAATAACTGAAAGAGCTCTGGGGGAAAACTGTACGGCTGAAGTAGTTTTCTCATTCTTTCTCAGGAGTCCTTGCAAAATTGACATGAGACCTAAACTGAGGGCTTCTGAATATGGCCGGATTCAGTAAGGTTAAGATGTTGAGAATGGCCGTGCTTGTGTTCTTCAGGTTGTTCTGGATATTGACTGAAAATGTTTTTTTCTGATGGAGAATATTCTTTAGCGCTTTAAGTCATCTGTAAATGTATGTAGTTCTCCTTGATGTTCTTGTGGGGGTTTTATTTTATTTTATTTTTCTTGTGAGATTTTTTTACCAGTAGGAAATGCCCCAATACAGGTCAGATTAGCAGAGGCCAGAACTGGTAGCCAGTCAGTGATGACTTAATGGTCTGTGTCCTCTCAGTATGGTAGACAGATGGTATTACATGAGATAGCAACTTGAAAAGCTGCAAATGTATGTGTCTGGGTTTCTTGATGAGACATACTAACCTAATCGTGTTTTCTTTTTTATCGGTCTGTTAACTTTGGAGTATGTTTTTGATTAAAATGTAATGATTTTGCTGTAGTAGATGTGAAGACCATTGGAAGGCAAACTCGTTTGTTCATTTTCTAGGCTGGATTAGATCAGCTGTGCTCAAACCAGGAACCTGAGTGTGTTTAAGTGAGGAAGTTTCACTGATAAGCTAGCCAGAACTTTTAAGATAGTTTTGTGTCACTACAGGTGCCTCTGAATGCTGGTATTGAGTGCAGGGATTTAGTTTGAGGTGTCGCAGTTGAGATATAAGCTGAAATAAGCCTATAGGTTTGGCTAATCGGGTGTAATTGAGGAGTACAGACAAACCTTGACTAAATTGTCACTGTGGCTTCAGTGGTTTCTGTTTCCTTTCTTTGATCTGGGATTTGCATTTGTATTGCTGGTGCTTTACCTAGAAAACCTTAGCAACGCAGAGAGCATGAAAGGAGCTGTCCCAGCCTGCTGCACTGGTGGTGGCAAGCCAAGCCTTAGTCTAGAGACCTGGGCGCTTTCAGAAGTGGCTTCTGTACCTCAGGCTCTGCAGAGGTGTTGGGGTAGTTGTGTGGTTTTCTGTAGTGCTGCGATGGGCCTCGGCCGTGCCAGGGGTTAAATCCCTCTGAGAGAGCAGGATAGGTGAGCGTAGCCATGGAAGCAGCATGTGTTATCCTCATCCCTTGCTGAAAGAATCAGTCGTGACTTGTGTTCTGAATGGCATGAGGATTTAGGAGAGAGAAGCTTTTGGGGTCTTAGTGCAACCATTTCAAATTTGAGGCTTAAATGGCTTTTGTAAAATGGGAATAGCAACTTGTGACTCCTGGTGTTCAAAGGAAAGGTAGCAAAGGACTTGTGTGTCTGCTACAAAGGTGAAAGCCAGATGTACTCTGCACAATAAAATCATTATCTTTAATTCGAGCAAACAGTAACAGTAAACAAGACATTTCAGTGGAAATGCAGGACAGTGTAAAACAGCACAACGCAACAATGCTGGAAAAATTATGTTTATATCCATATACATACAATAAGCAAGGCCCTGAGTATCACAATAGCTGGAATAAACTTTTCAGGCACTAATGCTTGTTTGAAAAATACACAATATGCAGGACAACATTTATCTGTTAAGGCTATATAATTTAGTCTTCCAAAACCACAGGTGAATTCTGTTTTATTATCTCCTTTGAATAGTGGAAATCTAGTGACTTTGAATTAAAAACGACAATTCCTTAACTAATGGCTTACAAAGCAGAGCCACAGATGGATAATAAAATACCTATCCTGACAGGTAATCACGCTTGATGTGATGTTTTCAAGCTTTCTGAAATTAAGTATTTGATCCTCGGCATTTGTTGGTGTCACTCTTAAGTAAACTTTATTGTATGTCGGTGAAAACTTGTGGTTCTTGGTTGTGGTGCTTGGGAGGGCTGGTTACAGAAGCTGGGGTGATGTTCCGTAGCCATACAGTGTATCTTCAAACTTGAGAGTAATTGGTTCTCAGCAGCAGAAGCCATCTAACATAAGTCCAAATAAATAACTATCTTGGAGTTCACAGTTTTACATAAAACAACGCTGAACGCTTTGCGGCAGTTAGGGTACCAGCACATTCAGATAGATACCTTACTTTTATATTCCGGTAACAAGAATGTTTCTATAACGTACAAGAAGCTGAGTCACAGAAGTATTTAGGTGACGATTGCCTATGGAAAGAGATACAGCAAGTGCTTTCTGCAGGAGATGTTTAAAATGTGAAGTATGTACAAACTGGTACTTCCTGGCAAAAGGACTGAGCTACTTCCAATAGCTATTTGACAATTGTTGTGCCAAAGCATTAAAATAATTGCTATGTATTTCTCTCATTTGCTGGCAAAAGCAATCAAGTTGCAGAAACTTCTCCAGTATGCCATAAAATCTTGTCAAAGATGAAAATTGTTTTCATTTGCTCATATAAAAATTTCTTTGGTGGGTGAGAGCAACCCAAAAGCTATTATTTAGTGCCTCCCTGGGCCCTCTACCTAACTCAGTTTTAAATTTTTTTAATTGTTTTCCATTAATTCGTTATCTTTAATACTGGCTGGCACTTTTAATAATTGGAGGAATTGTTCAATAAAAAAGAAAATAAATACTAAAAAAACAGGAAACAATTCAACACGTGAAAAGGAAGTCTGATTTTACTTTTTTTTTACTTCCCCCCTGGCTATGATCCTGTCTCTCGAACAAATTGAGAGGAATAAAAGAGGTGACAGGTACCTTCATCATCTCATTCTGTTAAATAAGAAATGCTTTGACATGCATCTAAATTGGCACATCAGACATCTGGTTGTGGCCACAACTGGCACAAGCATTTGTGCTGTCATCTGGTGAAGCAGATCTGATGCCTTTCTGGTTGGAATAAAAAACCTCAACGCAGTCTTTTTTTGAGGTTTCCTCCCACCAGTGTGACATCCAGTTAACTTGTGGCAATACAGGTCTCTGCTGGACTAGCGCAGGGTGCCTGAACAGCTGGGCATGTCAGAAGAAAGTGGGGATTGCTTTTATTGCTTTTTTTTCTCTCCACAAACTGTCAGATTGTTCAAAAAGAAAAGAGGCTTTTTCTTTTTTTTTTTCTTTTTTTCTTCTCCTTTTTTCCCCTTCTTGCTGTCTTCCCTGAGGAATCTGCGTGAGCAGCAACCACCAGAGGACTCCTCGGGAACGCTCAAGCAGGGCTGGAAGGTGCTCTCTGATCCTGCTGCTCAACCAGATGCTTTAAGCATAAAGTCAGTTTTGTGCAGCAGAGCACCTTGTGGAACCAGGAGGCTTAACTTTCTTACGACCTGCACGTTTATTCAGAAGTACGACATAAATCCATCTTGTTTGCCAATTAACTCTGCTGTAAGGCAGCAGACAGGGGCTCTGGCTGCCGTTTTGTAAGTTGTAACTGAAGAACACAAAAGCTCTACTGAAAGCCTAAATCCTGTAATCAATAAATAATGCTGGTGGTATACTTAAAAGACATTTTATATAAAAACACTTACTTCTGCTGAGGTTAAACTCTACAATCATGTCTCTAAGGGGAGATGTTAAAAAGGGATTTTTGAGAGCAAAACTGTTTGCTACCCTGATCCTAAAGTGCAGTAGGTGCTCTTTGACTGTTGGAAACAGCAAAGCGTGAGCGCTGCTCTCAGACCTTCCGATGCCTGTCGAGCTGGGCGAGCTTGGCTTTGAGTCACAGCGTGCTACCTTAGCAATTGTCTACTTAAAAACTCACCATGTGGATGAAGGGTAAAAGGAACAAGCTGCAACGTGGGAAATTAGGAAGAAAAATTCTCACAGTGAGGGTGGTCAGATACTGGAACGGGGCCCAGAAGGATCGTGGGCTCCTTGTCCCTGGAGATGCTCAACACCCACCCGTGGGAGGGCTGCCAGCAGCGCAGCAGCGGCTGGGCCAGGAACTGCCACAGGTCACTTCTAGCTGCAGTTTTTTTCAGTGATTCTGTGAAATGTTTGTGTTGTTTATGACATTAATAATGTGGGACTGCCAGAAGAGCATAAGAAGTACTGAGGAAATTACTTCAGTGTTTTAACACTGAGCAAAGTTGAAAAAAGAAAGTGTTCAGAAAACTGGACTTAAGAATAACCATTTTCTATTTGGGAATGCCAGATATAGTCATGGAGTAATTCAGAGTGTGTGATTAAGGTAACCTGTAACATTTGCTATCAAAACTTTAATGAGTAGCAGGACTGTTCTGCCTTCCTGGTCTCTTGTCCAGGTTAAAAGTACTTTGGTTGAATGCTTTTTGAGGTAAGCATTAAGAATCTCTGCTCCACAGGTGATGACACCAAAAGCAGTCAGCACTGGCCTGCTCTTACTCCTTGGTTTAATCCCAGTGGTCTAAATTTGGTAGTTCTTTTCAGAAACTAAGACTTGAACACTCTTTTTCTGAAGCAGGGCCTGCATGTGTGAGGTCCCCCTGGAAGCCCCAGCAGGGTCTTTGTGCAGCTGGCGCAGCACCTCGGAGCAGGCCAGGGGCTCCCTTAAGGCTGTGCTGATGAGGAGTGAGCATTCTGTCTCCCTTATCTTGTAAAAAAAAAAAAAATTAAAAAAAAAGATAAGGAGAACCAAATTTGAAAGTGCTAGAAACTCTCCATAAAAATTGTGTATAAACTGTAAAAGCTGACATAGGAAACTGTGTATGTTTCAGGTGTTACCTCTGATTATTGAGTTGGAGCGATTGCCTTGCTAAACTGGCTAACAGCCACATTTCTGTAAGCTTTGAGGGTCTGACATCTCGTCTCATGCGATTCACCTGTAAGATTGTGCCAGTAAATCAGAACTGATGTGTGTGCCTGCCAAGCCTCTGCCCTATGGTCTCTGGAGGAACCAGATCTCGTTGTGTCGGTTGGCAGCAGCTGGGTTTGTGTAGCCTGCGATGATGAACGTATCCTGCAAACACAGCTCGGGACTCTCCAGAATTTCCGCCAGCAGGTTTATTTCTCTCATTATAGAGTCTTCATTGGTAATTCCTCTGAAGCCCCTGTAACAATCAAGTAATTCCTGTAACTTTGTATCAAGTTCTTTTGGAAATGCACAGTTTTTCCAGAAGCTAGAAATGCCTCCTCCTAAATTATTTAGTTGTGTTTCACAAATGATCCTACCTGACTGTGACTGATCTCAAACAAAGAAGAGGTTTTCTTCTTAACATTTTCAGTGATGTCAGATGCTTTGTTCCCAGCTACACAGAGTGATCTGCATTCTGAGATGTGGCTATATTGCACGTTTATAGATGCAGCATTTTACCAAGTAAACTGGTAACCATTATTTCCTGAATATCCCAGTCTCATAAAGCAGGCAACTTTTAACGGTTAGTAAAAATCAAGTTTTACTGTTTGTTAGCTTTTAGACCTCAGTTTAAATGACATAACATGCCCAGGGTGAAAACTGCATCTTTTTACTTTTTACTTCTTTTTTTTTTTTTTTTTTTTTTTTTTTTTTTAAAAAAACAATTCTTTTTTTTTTTTTTTTTTTTTTTTTTTTTGCTAGAACAAAATGACCCTGTTTCTTACCTACTATACACAATAGTAGAAGGCCATTCTTCGATGATTATGTCCGAGTCAAAAGGATGAGGTGGCTCGTCCTGCAGCACTTCGGGCAGGTAGTACGCTACTGTCACCAAGGGCGTTATCTCCGACTGAGATTCATTTGTGTGGACCACGGTCACGATGGGTATTGTTATCCCCAAGTACAGGCCTGAGGAGGGAGAGAGGCTTTTAGAAAACGGAGAGGAGGTCTGCAGGCTGCGCTTGACTTCTGGACTCCGACTGGGTTTATCTTCTAAACTGACCTTGTGTCATGCTTTAGTTACGTGGGAAGAAACACCGTAGCGAGACAAGGGGGCTGCTTCATGAATTCATTTAGGCTTTGTTGTTCTCAAACATGGCTATGTTTTTGCAGTGCTATAGGCAAAGGTGGTGATTTTCACTGTGCAGCACCAGTGATGACTAGGAGTGGGAACTTTGCTTCTGTACACAGCCTGAAAACAAAACTGCACTGTTTGGAGCCAAAAGTACTTTCAAACTGTGTTGAAATGGTGAAAGAATGAGGAGTGCAGGGAAAATACCTGATTATGGAAAAGCTTTTGTGATCAATGTTTTTAGTTTCTTGGAGAGAACACTAAGGGCTGGCTTGCTTACAACACATGTACTATCACAGAACAAAACACTGGGCCTTCCAAAACCTCTTAATCAACTAGAGAATGGAAAACAAAATGAGAACTGATGGCTGGAAGTTGAAACTAGCTTAAATTGGATTGGAAAATAGGTGCACGTTTTACATGCCAGCAAAAACTATCAAGGACTTGATGAATTTACAATTATTTTAAAGTACTTGAGTTAAAACTGGATTATCTTTCTGGGAAATGTACTACAGCTGCAGAAATTTTTGGTGCTCATTCAGACGTGTGCAAGTTGAGTATCGTGAACTCGAAGGAGGCAGAACACCATGATCTCTTCTGGCATTACACTCTGAGTTCGTTCTTAGAGTGGGTGATTTGAGTACTGCTGTGAAAACTAAACCACTAAAATTCCGTAACATAATTTCCAGCTGCCAGCTTTCAAAAATGGCCAGTGCCTCTTCCCAGGTGGCTGCAGTGGCCAGAATTCGCCTGGAAACAGTGCTGTCTTCCCCAGTTGTGCTCCTCACCAGAGCAGCACTTGGGTTTAGACTCTGCTGGAAAGGCTGTGATGACAGGAAAGTGTCTCCACAGGCAGGGCGAGTATTTGGAAAAAGCTAATTAGGAGGAGCTAGTGTATAAATACAGTGTTTTAACTTTAATGTAGAATTGTGGTACCAATTACCTGAGGAGTTCTGCTCACAAATGTACCTCATGAGCTTCATGAATCCAAGGCATATGCTCTGTTCATACTGTTTTTCTTTCATTTTGATGCAAGCCCACTTGGCTTTTCCGTACTGGCGTTTTTCGTACAGCAGATCTCCAAGCTGCAAACACAATAAGGTAATAACTTTGTGTTTAAGTTAAGCAAGCAAAAGTCAAACAGTATTTCAGCACTTATTTCTAACATAAAGAAATCAATTTCTTGAGGTGTATGACCAGGAGAACCGCAGGCAGGAGGAATGATTGTCAGTCTCAGCTATACCTTAAGCACATTCTCTTTGAGATGTTGTTCATGCATGCCTCAATTCAAGGTCCGAGCTGGCACCTAACAGGTAGATACCCAGACACAGCGTGTGCATCCTACCTGAGTACAAGAATAACTGCGTCTTTTTTTCAACTGTCAGTGAAATGAACTTGAACATGGAAATTTCAGTCCTTTCTCATACAAATCAAGAAGGGATATGTTGCTGATCTCAAGCCAAAACTTATTTCAGGAGACGTCTAGCTAGTTCTCCTTTAAAACAAGGAACTGTCAGCTTTTGGACTTGCAGCATTAAACATGTAGTCACAATTAACACTTATTTCTCTATCAGCAGTTATTACAATAGTAGTAAGAAGTTGCTTTTAAGCACTTAATTACAACATATTTATGTCAGGATTCCCAAACTGTTAAGGTGAAACACACTCAAATTGTGATGTTTATAAATTTGAATTATAGAGATCTAATGAAAAGAAATGTGACAGGAAATCTTCATACATGCTTGGTAAACGCTTTCTTGATTTGTCACCTATTTGAGGTTAGACCCTTCTTTGCAGCATCTCCTGAGCTGTAAACAATTTGCTGGGCATCAATTTCAGTTTCTCCTAAGAGGATAAGATGGGTTTGCAAATTGCTTCTTTCTTTGATAATGACCCATGACAGAGAAGTATGTGTTTGGTTTAAAATTCAGATATGAATCTCTTTCAATTATTCTTTGCTAAGGTTTTATTGACGTGGTTGTATAAAGAAGCAAATGCATTGATTTAAATGAAGAACATAGGCATTTATATTTCAGATATCAAAATATGAGGGTTTTTTGTTAAATGAAGTACAAAATATCATAAAGGCATTTAATATCTGGACATCCTCTGATTTTTACCTTACAGAAAAGAAAAATTCACATGTGTAAAAGCAGTGAGATGCTAAATATGAAATGTAGCTATCCAGTTATAATGCTTTGCATGTACGATGTTAAAAATCCTAAATGGTTAAAGTACTTTTATAGAGAAACACGTATTTTGGCAGCTAGGTATGAACAGTGCAAACGCTGCTGAAGGCCCAGCTGGGCCGGGTGAGGTTACCTTCTCTTTGCGCTGGATCAGGGTGAAGGGGATGGCCTGTCTCTCCTGGGGATTGTTGTTCCTTGTCAGCTGCTGGATGGGCTCTGCCATGTCTGCAACAGAAGAACACAGGGCCCTTTTCACACAGGAGGCTGCAGAAAGAAGTGATTTTTGTAACCGGTTTAGTTTGCTCTTTATTACCTAGCAATAGCAAAGGTTAGCTGACTTGTGTTTCTGTGCTGTTAGGAAGAGGGTTTGCTCTCCCACTCCTCACACGCCGCAGTTACACAAGCAGTTCCTGGTTTTCAGGCTCTGTGCAGGTGAAGTCACCAATTCCAGCAGCTTTTTCAGCGTTGAATTAATGAGAATCCACGTGAAGGAGTTAACTGAGTTCAGGAAAATACCACTAGGGAAACACTGTCATTTCCAAAGGATATTTTATGTCTAATATTTTACTTTAGCATTTGAAAGGTTTTATTTCAGTTTGGAAGGGGCAGAAGACTGTTGACCTGGAGGGAATATTAAGATTCTAGCAGTCATCCAGGCTGTAGTAATCATTACACTTCCTAGCCAAGCTCAAATGGATAGAAGGAGCAAATATATTATACTTGCATATATATATATATATAGTTCTTTTGTTCTACATTTTTGTCATGTAAATATGGTTGGATTAGGTGTATTTGCAGCTGTGGTTGCTTTGACATCAATTCTAGCTGTAGTTCATAAATAATTTCTTAGAAGTTGTTTCCTAACAACAATCCTAAACTCTGGATGTAAATTTAGTCTCAGGAATGGAAAGCCTCTCTTCCAAGACAGTTAGTCCCTTGCCTTCCAAAGCTGAGGTAACATAGGCATTTGTGCACTTTGACAGAGGATTAGAAACTTTAATTTTTATGTTCCATGTTTGAAGGTCTGGATGTGAATTTCTGCTGAGGGACCTCATGGTACACGCCAGGCATGCATGGAAAGGACTGAAGTTTGAACTGAAGTGAAAGTCCTTCCCTTGGGTATTTGAAGTGACTCAGTATCTTAAGCATAAAGGCAGGATGATGGGGGAAGAGAGTATTATCTGTGTTTGGGGGAAAAGGAGAATTGAGATGCAGGAGAATTACCTTGGCTGAGGTCACTTAGTAAATCTGTAGCTGAGCTGGGAATCAAACCTACATCTCCTGGCATCCAGTGCAGGGGTTTTAGCTTTAAGACTATTTAGAATAATAAAGATCCTTTTAATAAAGGAGAGAAAAGTACACTTCAGTTGATTTTAAACATTTCTTAAAAAGATGTCATTGGGAAACATTTAAAAGATAAGTAATAATTGACACATAAAATTGATGTCTTTGGAGGCTGAGAGAAAAATAAAAGTAAATCAGACTTCAGCACTGAATTTTTCCACAGAGTATTCAAGGATTAGGAAATATTCTAGGACTCTAGAAAAGTTAACTCTAATTTCAGATTCCTATATTGATAAATGTGTTAGTTCTGGTTTGTTTTTCTTCCATATTAATGCACAAGGTAGAGATTATAACTAAAGTCCTTCCAGGAGTTCTGTTCTTCAGTTCGTGAATGCGTGCCTATCAGGTGTGACAGTTTAACATTTGAATTATAAATATTTTAGCCTACACAATATTTAAGAATATAATGCCCAAAAGTGAGCTGCTAGATTTACATGCCATCTGTCAGTCCAATTGCAAATGTGAATACTGGCATGACAGAACAAGGCAAGATAAGTTGCAGCAATATAGCTACGTAAGGTCTTGTTTTAATTAAATTTCAAAGTTGTGATTACAGTTGCTACTATAGGTAGGTGTTACGAAAAAAGCGAATCTTTATGAAAGGATTTATAGAGATAAGGCACATTTGACAAGACTTGTTCATAGCAGCAAGACTGAACAGTAATTAAATTGTTGCGTGTATTAATTTGTGCCTGATCAGACCTGCTGGGAGTGTCACCGCAGTGGGACATGCTCTTCTGCTGCGCCCTTAACTCACGTACACGCACACAAAACGTCCTTGCTGAGCAGAGGAAACAGATGTTGTAACCACCTCTTCCAGCTGTAAAGAACCACTAGAGGTGCACCTGGGAGGGGGGTGAGGAGCCAGCTCAGGGAGGTGTCTACAAGCACCGTCTTGGCAGCGGGCGCAGAGCTGGGTGACCCAGCGGTGGGGACTCTGCTCCTTCCCCACAGGATTCCCTCACCCACCAGAGGTTCGGGCTGTCCGGCAGCCTCAGGACTGGCTGAGCCTGGCTGTCATTTTGGGAGAAGGTGACCCTGGCAGGGGAGGGACACTGTGACTGATGGAAAAACACCTGTGGTTCAGAGCTAAAGCCTGGTCAGGAGCCCGGGCGCTCCACCTTGAAGCGTGTGGCTTTGTGCACCAAGTAGCGTTGGGCACCGCGGGGCTTTAGCAAGTGGGTGGTTCTGATGGGCGGCAGCTGTCCTGAGCTTGCTCGGTAATGAATGCTCTTGTATTGAGATTAGAGTTGAGGCATTTGAAAATAGCTGCTGTAGTATGTTTTCTGCTTCTTCTGAGAGGAGGTAAAATGGACTTTTCAAGGCAAGAAAGTTAGATTAATTTTCTTTTTTGTTGCAAGGTTTGGCATCACCAGTCTGTAGGACTGAGATCTTGTTAAGCGATAAATTGCTATGCCAGCCACTTCAATATCTGTTGTTCATGTCTCACAAAATCTTAGATTTTTATTATTTATTTTTTTTAATGCTTATGCCGTTCCTGTTACCCTTAAAAGACGCTAACAAAAGCTACAAAGCAAGTCATCTTTTCAAGAGGTGTATTGTCAGCACAGAACAAAACAGGTAAAGCTTGTGGTGGTCCAGACCTGTTGATGAGAGGGATGGTCATGTTCTTCCTTTGCAGACTTTAGCACTAGGCTACAGGAAACCCACGTTCTGTTGTTACGGTCTCGAGTCCCTGCCTGTGCAGTCACGGGGCCGGCAGGCAATAGTCAGCCAAGGGAAGTTCTTGTATCTTCTCACATCACGGCGTCAGTGACACCAGCTGCTGGGAAGGGGCATGCCAGTCGAGAGGGTGCTCTGCTCCCCACTGATGGGGGATTCCTCCTCCTGGAAAGTCGTGTCCGCTCTACCCCCCCAAGCTTCAGCTCAGCCCTTAGCTGACTGCATACTAATCACGGATATTAACAGTGAACTTGAACTGTGTCAACTACCCCAGCAAACTGTTGGAGATGAGATGCAGTCTGCTCCTTACATGCAGCCCTGGGCAATGTCTGAAGAAAAATCTTCCCTTCAAGTTTCTGTAACATTTACTTAGCATCACAAAGTAAACCTTTTATAATACAGTAACTAAATAGTGTTGAAATACTACTTTTTGCCATATTTCCTAGACTTGATATCCTGCATAATAAGTCTTAGGAATTTCAATGTCCTGTTTTGCTGTATATTAGAATATCAGATAACTTTGTGGGAAGGAATCTTGTTTTGTGCTACACAAAGCTACTCTTACAGAGCAACTTAGCACTCATGTGTTCACGCCTCATCATGCATTCCTTAAACAGGGAGCCCCTCTCCTCTCCTGCTCCCTCTATGCCCCTGTGGAATGCAAAGAGGTCAGATTTGATGCCCTGACTACAGACACGAACCCGCGGCTGCTGGAGCACCTGCCAAAACTCTGGCATGGCACTGCTGGCAGTGGGCACCCAAAAATTCCCCTTGCAAGGGGACAGGGAGAACAAGGCAAGGCAGAGAACCGGGTTCAGACTGACGCTGCCTTTGGAGTACCCGATGGGGCATTAGTTTTCATTGTTAAAACACTGCAAAGGTGAGATTTCAAGGCATGACTTGAAAGGAGGTCACACGCTCTTTGCTGTGTTGGAGTTCATTTTGTTAGTGTCTACTGCAGTCAGTTGTGCCAGGTTTTGCTGCTTCCTGTCCCCTTAGAAGGTGATTTATCTGAACAGCAGAGATGATAAAGATCTCTCTACTTCTTGTGCAGGGCTGTGCAGATGAGTTAAAAGTTTTGGAATGAGCTAAATTTGCATTTACTCTCTGCTGCTTGTTATGAGTTATCTGCCTTGTTACAGTCTTTTGGGTTCTTCAGTCTTTCTTAAAATTGAAAAGAAACAATTTAACAAGATAAGCCTGGGACGCTTACTGTCAAAAAGCCGAATTGATCCTTGTTTGCTCTGTGCCACCTTTCAAACTGACCATCTCTCTTTCAAGAGCTGACTTTTTGGATAGGTACTGCGGGACTTGGAAGGAGAACGCTCCTGCGCGCAGCCAGCTCAGTGTTTAATGAGGACCGAAAACGCACATCAGCCCTTTTTAGTCTGAACAGGGCACTCCACTGCTACTTTCTCTCCGTCAGAGAAATCCTTGGAGTCGCCCCCCGCACACCGTGAGCTCGGGCTC